CGGTCCTCGGGGGAGACCTTGATCTGGAGGAGGTGGGAATGGGGGGTGGGCTGGGGGGAGGGGTGGGCGAGAGGGGGAGAACAGGGGATTCTGTGGCTATTGTGTTGAACTGAATGGTGTTGTAAAATAATAATAATAATAATAATAATAATAATAAAAAGAAAACAAAAAAAAAAAAACATGGGAATGCACACAGAGTACCATATGATATTTTGACACAGTACAGATTGTGAAATTTTTATGTACAGAACAAGAGTAAACATATGGATTCTTTGTGTTTGTTGAGACACTTTACTACATGTTAGAAAAAAAGGAAAAGTTTTGTTTCATCCTGCTCTTTGATTTTATTATTCTCAGGCTAGAAAAGTAAGAGTTTATTTCAATTCCCATCACTAAAAGAAAGAAAGGGAAAAAATAAAAGAGAACACATGTACATATACAGAGAGAGAGAGAGAGAGAGAGAGAGAGAGAGAGAGAGAGAGAGAGAGAATCTGAACTGTGATGCCTATTAGAACATCCATAAATGCTGATACTTGGGAAGAGAGAAAGAATGTACATGATATAAATTTCCACCAAGCCTTAAACAAATTATTGACTGTCAATATTATTTTTGGTCAATATTAAGTAGTTTAACATTTATGGAAATCTCAAGAATCCTCTCCAATTAATATGTGACCTATCTACTTGAAACTCTTTTTCATGGTTCTTCGTCCAACAAGGACTTAAAAGTTCAGATAGTTCAGATACCTGTGTGCAGATAGTAAAGCCAATTTGAACCTCTACACTAAGCAGTTACATTGGAAAAATGGTGTCTAACTTTTAAAGACATAGAAAGTACGTAACTTCATTCTATAAAATACCTAATAATATTCAAAGAGAATTTTTTTTTGTTTTTTCGAGACAGGGTTTCTCTGTGTAGCTTTGCGCCTTTCCTGGGACTCACTTGGTAGCCCAGGCTGGCCTCCAACTCATAGAGATCCACCTGGCTCTGCCTCCCAAGTGCTGGGATTAAAGGCGTGTGCCACCACTGCCCGGCCTCAAAGAGAATTTTGAAACAATGTTGTATCCCATACTTATCTATCAAAAAAAAAAACCCAAACACTTTTATTCTCTTTATATTACCAGTAGTATTTCATTCATAGTAGAAATCTTCTAATTTTTAGGAAGAATAAAGTTTAGAAGGCAGCTATTAGAACCATCTAGAATGTAGACTGTACTGACAACAACCTTTTCCCCAGGACTCTCCTCAAAGCCCCTGGGACCTCCTTATTCCTCAGGCTGTAGATGAGAGGATTTAAAGCTGGAGTGAAAATTGTGTAGAAAACTGAGCTGATATTATCTTGTTTGGGGCTGTGGAAGGAACTGGGCAGGACATACATGACCATGGCACCCCCATACCACATCCCAACCACAGTCAGATGGGAAGAACAAGTGACAAGAGCTTTCTTCCTGCCCTCATTTGAGGGCATGTGGAGTACAGTGAACAGAATTAGTGAGTAGGAAGCCAGGATGGCAGCAAGAGGGGGAATTAGCAAGGTCACTCCCATCACATAAACCATGAGCTCATATCTGGAGGTATCTGCACAGGCCAACTTCAGCAATGGAGGAATCTCACAGAACAGGTGTCTGATCTGCCTGGATTTACAGAAAGGATATTGCATGGTGTAGATGCTATATCCTAGAGCACTGAGGGATGCCAGAATCCATGATGTGGCTATCATGAGCCAGCAGACTTTGTGACTCATTAAAATCGTATAGTTCAGAGGATGACAAATGGCCACATACCTGTCATAGGCCATGAAGGCCAAAAGGAGGTCCTCTGCACTACCCAGTGTCAGTTCCAAAAACATCTGAAGGGCACAGCCCCCAAAAGAGATGGTGTTGTCTTTGGTGAGAAAATCTATTACAGCCTTGGGAGTGATAACTGATGTAAGGAGGAGGTCCATGAGAGAGAGCTGCCAGAGCAAAAGATACATGGGAACATGGAGCCGGGCATCCATGGTGATAACCAGGAGTAACAGTCCATTGCTGGTCAGGGCTAAAAAGTACAGGGCTGTGATAGTGGCACAGAGCAGTTCAGGAAAACCACTGTCATCCAGAATCCCCACTAAGATGAAGCCATTTCCAGAGGTGGAGTTGCAGACCTCCATTCTGTGAGGTCTCTTTAGCTTCCTAGAAAACATATGATTCAGTTAGGTTTTGCTAATATCAACTCAAATTGTTAATTGTTACATCAATAACCCCCTGTGCTACCCAGAATGACCACAATAACTTGGGATCTTTCTAAATAGCTTTACTTCTTGATTTATATCTCTCCTTCCCTCTCCCTCTCCCCTCCCCCTGCTCTCTGTCTGTCTCCTCAAATATCTATGAAAATCCATCTATGTGTGGAATAGGTAGCATAAATATTAGGAAATCACCTGATAAAGTAATACTCAGGAAACTAAACCTGGAACATATTTCTAGAAAAATAAAGATATCTCTTATGATCAAAGAACTATCCTAGCATGTGAGATTGTAGTATAATGTTTAAGGAATCACTTTAAATATTTCAGTTAAGTTTCCTGAATAAAAATCTTTCAAATGTGAAACTCTAAACTGATTTCAAAGAAATACCACTATTTGTTTTTTTACATTTCATTTTTAAGATTTTTTTAAAATTATGTGTATGTAGATGGAGATATGACTCAGCTCTCAGCTGTTTTAAGGTTTGTTTCTGCAAATCATTCAGCCATGACATGGCATCACACACACACACACACACACACACACACACACACACACACACACACACACACTTCATTAGTTTGCCTTGGCTTCTCTGTGGGACGTTAGTATGTTAACAGTTAAATAGTATTAAAATATTAATCAAAAAATCTCTTTGAGTTAGGGGTTCCTTGGGGGTTTTCATTATTGTCCAAAGTCAGCAATATCCACAAGGTCCTGTATTGACATTCCTACAAAAGAGGAAGTACCCAGGTCTAGATTATAACACAGAATTTTACCAATCCCAGTTGATTCTATCTTTCAATTTTTTATTGTTCAATAACAGTTTTCTAAGTGAATTTTTCAACAATTTCATACATGTCCCTGATTTATTCTGCTCACTATCTCCCCTCCTCAAACACTCAAAGCCTTCTATTTTTTCTTAGTATTCAAAAAAAAAAAAAAAGATGAAAGGAAAAGGAGACCAAGTACCTAGGGAATTTGATTCCATAGCTTCTGACCTTGGCATTTGCTTTGAACTCTATTCTTCGGCTCAACATTTCCAGAAGCTGTCTATACATTTCAATAAAAGAGAGACACATCTTTCCCTCACTTTCTAAGAAGCCTAGGTGCCTGACCATTTCAGCTTCCCTTGGGCTGCTTGAATATTGAAGACACTTCACTACACTTGAGAAGATCTGATGCAGTTTAATTCAGCAGCAGCTAGTGGATTTGTTTTGCTAAGTTGCTGCAGTGTGTCAGGGGTCGGTCCAATGTCAGGTGTCAAGGATATTGTATTCCTTCCTCTCGTCTGCAAGTGTGCTCTAGAGATGGCAGTGGTTAGAGCCAGGCAGCTGATGGGTTTTTAGTAATTTCCTATGAAGTAAAATGATAGTTTTGCTGTTATCAGATCTGAAGGGAATAGTAGAAACTGCTGCCCCTTGCCTGTGGCATGAAGTGAGCCCCCTTAGCTTCCTGTCAGTTTCCAGGTGGCTCTTGAGTCTGGATGCTCAGTTTTCTTTATCCATGCTGCCATCTATGGGAAGAGACCAAAGCTACATGGAACAAACAGAAATCAGAAGAGATGACCAAGGTCCTCTACTATCTCACCTGAATGTTCTGGAGGTCAGGTGTAAGCCAAGACCTTCTCCAGGAACAAGCTTCTTTCCCTTCTGATCTCATCACCCTCTTTCTGCTTTTCTCTGTACATAGCTTCAGCAGGACTCATTTCCCATCTGAAAAAGTCTCCCTTGGAAATTTTGGTTTCATAAATGGGAAGTTAATGAATCCTCTAGGGTGTATTTTCTGCCTTGCTTTTCCTGGGGTGTTCTATCAGTTAATGAGGTTTAAGACCCTTGGTTTCTTCTTCTCTGGAATTTAGGATCCAACTCCCTTAAGTTCCAAAGTGCTGAGATTATAGGCATTTACTACTTGGCTTTTCCAGAGTTTCCTTTAATCTGAGAAAAAATATTGGAAATCAATTTTACTTAAAAAAATCCCATTCAGTTTTTTCATACATGTTTTTGACCTTATTCTTCCCCCATGCAACTCCTTTCAAATCCTTTCCACCTTTCTACCTACCCAGCTTCATGATGCATGTTCTCTCTCTCTCTCTCTCTCTCTCTCTCTCTCTCTCTCTCTCTCTCTCTCCCTCCCTCCCTCCCTCCAAAATACTCTTCAAAATCAAACAAAGCCAAACCAAAACCAAAACCAAAACAAACAGAGCCAATAAGTCAAAAATACAGAAACTTTAAACAAGGAGAATCAAACTGGTTCCTAACAAGAAGTTTTACCCCTACTGACTAGAGTTCGTGGTTCAATAGAGGCACAAATGTTGTGGGAATAACCAAGGACTTTTTAAAACTTGGATTAAAGGTATATTACATGACATGGAACACATACCAGAGACTGCTAAAGTGGCCAATAGCCTAAGATTAGATTAGCCATGGGTCCTAGGGAAAAAAATCCACTATTCTTATTTGGAAACCCAATTTAAAATTTCTAACTAAACAGACCTGCAGAGAATCCTGGTGTAGCCAGACTCTAATGCAAGGGAAAAGGTGAGTTTCCCCAGCTTTTGTGGAAAGTTGTTTCCTTTATTTCTGTTTCTTTTCAGTTGGGTTGTTTCTAGTTCTATATGGCTATTCTGTGTAGAGTCTGTAGCTATGAGATCTTCCTTTAATTAACTTTGTTGATGCAGTATCTTGTCTGTGTGTTCATATGTTGGTGTTTATGTTGTCTGCCATCCGTGATAGTTGAAGAAAGAGAGATCAATTTTCAAAATGTTAAGCAGGAAATTAAAAGAAATCCATACAGATTTAGTGTTGTAGAAATTCAATATTCACTAAAATAGTTCATTTCTCCTGTTTACATAAGCCATGCACTACGCAAATACACTTGAATAATAATGGTGGTAATAAGATAAGAATGGGATGTGTTTTAAAGTGAAATAAAACTCTATACCTAGACCATCTATGTACAGCTGAATATACTCAATGAATGAAATCACACTCAAACATGAAGAATTGACTTCTAAAGACTCCCAATAAAATACTTTCAGGAAGAAGAAAAGCAATACCTAGATATAATATACAGGAATCATGGTGAATCTTATTCAGTAAGTTAGTGGACAGATTTAATTCCAAAAACACAGAAATATTTATATTTTTAAATATATAAAAATTACAAAGACGACAAATCCAGAGGTGTGTTTCATTAGCATTCTAGATGAAATTTCAAAAGTAGAATTTGAAAGCTTCATTTGTATTCATTAAAAGAACCAATCCCTTTTTCACTTTTAAACAAGGCACAGTTTACTGCACTGACATCAGTGTTTTACAGTATACAGCTCTGCGAATTTTGGCAAACCAATAAAATCATACAAACAGTAAACATAAACTATCTACAAATATTTGCCACATCCCTAGTGTCCATTTATAATATCTTGTGTCCCCACACAGCCTCCACAATAATTGGTTTTGATTTCATCACTATTCTATCACTGAGGAATTCAGAAGGAAAAAAATTAAAAATTCTAGAATTGAAATAAATTGAATACACAAAATACCTAAATCTATGGGACATAATAAAATCAACTCTAAGAGGGAAGATGTTATTCAGAGTGAAGGAGTGACACAGAACTAATTTAATAATGTTTGATAATAATTTAATAATTTGATATTGACAATATCTGAAAGACAAGTCTTATAGGAAGGAGTCACTGAGCATCTGAAAAGGAATTGTGGTGGTTTGGGTTGATATACAAGTGAATGTGGGAATGGAGACATCTAGAGAAGGTTATGCATTTGGAATCTGTTGTGCAGATGAAGCTGGTAGGACTGAGTTATTGAGGCAGGAAGGCAAAGGGAAACTGATGTTGATACTTAAGCATTAGTTTCTTCAATAACATGAGTGGTGTTATTTATTTAGATGGGATATTGTGGAGGAAGATAAAACAAAAGAATATTCAGCTCATTGGCCTTAATGAAGTAACAGTTGTGGGCTATGTGATAGATACCAAGGAGATGAAAACAGTGAGGTTTGAGTTAGCAAAGAGGGACGGGATTTACTCATAAACGCCCATCTGGAAAAATAACATAATCTGGTTCATATTTATGGGGTATTGGACAAGATTAGCAGGGAAGGAGTCAAATAAATGTTTGCTTATCATCATAATTCCTACTAGATATGAGACATCTGAGCCCGATTTATGCACGCATTTGATCTTTTGTGTCAAGAACGTATAAACAGCATTTATCCTTTGAAAGCAAAATAATTTGGGAGAGACGAGAAAAACTGAGACCTGGGGAGTTAGTGGAGTTTAGCCATTGACATGCAGTTTTAATGGCGGAAGCAGTGTGAGCTGTTCATGTATAGATGCAGGTGGGTGTGAGATTTGAAGCAGCTAGGAGTGTGGGGTCTGTAACTGATTGTTTTGTTCTAAATGAAATTTTGGACAAGGTCATCAGATGAGAACCAAAATGTTGGATATCTATTTGTTAAATGATAATTTGAAGAGGTCCAGTGATATAATAGTATACATTGTTTTGATAGAGAAGGCAGAGTACCATAAAATCTTCAACTTTATATGTAAGTTGAATATGCTCATTATTACATTGCTGAAAGGTTCTTAAGATTTGTGCAGCCTTGGTGCAGGGAGGAGGGTCTTGGACCTACCTCATCTGAATGTACCAGGCTCTGTTGACTCCCCATGGGAGACCTTGCCTTGGAGGAGGTGGGAATAGAGGGTGGGTTGGGGGGTGAGAAGCTGGGGGGTAGGAGGAGGGAGGACAGGGAATCTGTGGTTAGATTGTAAAATGAATAGAAAATCTCTTAATAAAAAGGAAATAAAAGATTAAACATTTCCATAAATAATGAAGAAGAGAAATCTACCAGAACTGAGAAGGCAGCTTTTATAAGCTAGCTGTGACTCTAGTATAGCCGA